TACAAAATTTCACAACTGAATTCAGATATGCTAATTCAACAATCATCAAAAACAATGATCCAAAGGGCTAGCAAAATCATTAGGTTAAATACATATGTTGAACTGCAGCGGTGCTGAGTTTTATGTATAAAACCATTCATGGAACTCAGCATTGGAGAGAAAAAAACTCTTAAAACTTATTTAACAAAGAAATCTATTATGAGATGCATTACCAAATAAATAACGAGTAAACCATATAATTGAAAATTAGTGTTATTATTGTCCCAACAATTTTTTTCGGACCCTTTATGGACACCATCTCTAAATTTTTAAACTTAAATGGTTTTTTCTTTGGACCCCTACCTTATTTCCAATTCAGCCTCATTTCCAAAGCCTAACCCTAACCCACCTCACCTCTGGCTGCTGCTCCCACCTCCTCTGATGCCCCCCTCCGCAATGCAACCTAACCCTAACCCTAATCCTAACCCCAACATACCCTAATCCAACCCTAACCCTACCTTCACCTCTGGCTGCTACTGTCACCTCCTCCAATGCCCTCCTCTACAATGCAACCTCTCTCCAATGCAAGCCCCCTTCCCCACCATCGACCCTCCCCCACTGCGCAGAGGACTAAGAACCAATGATGATCATATCATCCACATAAAGTAACAAGATAACAAAACCAACGAAGTGTGGAGAAAAAACAAAGCAAAATCTTGGGAACAAAGCAAAATCTTGGGCACAAAAATGAGGCCCAAGTTGAGTAACAACAGTCTAAAGCAATCATACCAAGCATGGGGAGATTGCTTCAAACCATAAAGAGTAGTCAAAGGCGACAAAACATTCAGAGGAATGAGGAAGAAAAAGGGAGAGGACACATGTAAACCTCCTTAGTGAGATGACCATTAAGAAAAGCATTCTTAGCATCCATTTGATAGAGAGGTCATTGACGGACAACTACAGAAATCAACGTACGAACAATAGTCATTTTAGCGACAAGGGCAAAAGTCTCATAATCAAGACAATACTCCTGTGAGAACCTTTCGCAACCAGGCGAGTTTTGTAACGCTTGAAAGAATCATCTTGACTTTATAGACCTTTTTGCAACCAACCAGATTCTTGTCAGCAAGAAAAGGAACCAGCTCTCAAGAAAGTCTTTTGCATTGTAAACAACTCATCCTCCATAGCTTGAACCCATTAGGATCCTGATAGCCTCCTTGTAAGACTGGGGTTTTGAAAAGGAATGAATATTAGACAAAAAGGTACAATATGAAGGAGAAAAATAAGTATTAAAAAAATCAAGTTTTACCATGGCCTTGCTTTGACAAAAGGGATACTAACAATCATCAAGATCAGTGTCATCAGAAGCAAGAGGAGCAGCAGCATGGACAAAAACAATTGGTGGAGAAGAGCCTTGCGACGAGAATAAACTAACAATGGATGAGGAGAAAGAGGCAGAGGAGAAATGGAAACGCTTATGGAACAATAGAGATGTACTCAGTAGGGGAGCAGGAGGAGAAAAGGAAACAGTAAAGATGTACTAATTAGGAGGGACCTCAGAAAGAAATAATCAATGTGAAACCAAATCTCTTTGGAAAACAGGGACAGTGATAGGAAAAATTGAAAGTAAGACAAACATTCGAGAAAAGCAACATGGCGGAGACATAAAAGCGACAAGAGTCAAGATCATAACAACGATGGCCATTTTGAGTAAGACTATAACTCAAAAAGACGACAAGACAGACTGAGCACTAATTTTGGTCCTATCGTATGGAGAAGAATAGGGACAAAACAAGCCAGATTCCCAAAGACTTGAAGGAGAGAGTAAATAGGTACGTGGGAAAAGCAGGAGCGCTCATAAGGAGAGCGATTAGAAAGAAGAGTAGGCATACAGTTGAGAAGAAAATAGTAATAAGAACTGCCTTCACCCAGAATGGGGCGAAACAAGGAAGAAAAGAAGAAGAGACCCGAGTAGTCTCAAGGCATAATGACGATGTTTACGCTCACCCTGCTCATTCTGGGCAGGTGTATCAGAACAGGAAGTTTGGTGAATGCGTACCTAAGTAGCTAAATACTCACAAAACTCAGTTTTAAAGTATTCTCCATCTAAATCAGACCACAACATTTTAATAGTAGACCCAAATTGGATAGTGATCATAACTAAAAAGTACGATATATCTGGTAGAGAGTCGGATTTATGAATCATAAGATAAACCTAAGTGTAACAGGTGCAATCTTCAACAAATGACACATAGCTATGCAGAACCCCTTTTTGAGTGAGAACAAGAGAATGCCCCAACATTAGTATAGACTAAAGAAAACGGGGTATCAGAAATAGAAGTACTATTATTAAAAGGTAATGTTGTCATTTTGACAGTTTACAACCTGACATTCAGTAATTTGATTAAGGAAAACTTACCCAACAATCTTGCTAAGCTAAAGACTTAAGTGGTCACAGATAAATGACCTAATCTAAAATTGCCACAATAAACTGACTTGGCTGAGAATCTAACTAATGTAAGAAAAAAAAATTAAAGAGGTGGAAGATGGAGATTAAACTTTCCACCACATAGAAGGTCTCCAATCTATGACATTCAATCGCTACTTGGAGATCCGATCCACACATAAAGACAAAAAAAGAAATATATAACATTTAAAACTAAAGGTATCAGCTAACTGATAGAAGTATAACTAATAGATACACTGAAGCAAAACGTAAAAGACAAATGGAATAGTGACGGCAAAACATGTCAGATGTAGGATAGAACTAATACGATAAAACAAATTTACCAAACCAATTAGCAAACATTTAAGTAAAGGAAATGGGAGGGGAAATGCAATTTTTAAGTAAAGAGAGATTGATGAGTCATATGATGAAAATTCACAGATTAAAAAAGTCAGACAAAATAAGAGATACTAAAGAAGACTTCAGCAAACCTGAATGAGGAAGGTAAGGAGCAGTGGCAGAACAAGGAATGACCAAAAATAGATAATATTAATCTAAAGCAGAGCAATCTGAGCACTCATGGAAGCCAAGTCCAGATCAGGCAGCCACGAGCAGATGCAATATAAGCAGCTGAGAGGGCCGAAGGGTGCTCTAAGTAAGAGCTACGAAGTGGGGCTGAGACGTTGAGAAAGTGGAACGTCCCTTCTTAGGACAATTGACTTCCAATGGCCCTATTTAAGGCCAAAAGCAGCAACTATTGAATGCCAGGGCCCCTTCTTAGGCTTTACGGTGGCCTGAAGCTGATAAGGAGGCTAAAGGTCGATGTATGGAGGCTGAAATAGGACGCCAAAGATAAATGAGACAAGAAGTCTCACTGATTGTCTTAAGACGAGTTTCTCAGAGAGGAGCTCACGAACAATAGCATCCATAGAGGAAGATAGACGGTGAATAAAGGGATGTCGCCATGGATAGCTTCAAATTAAGGAGGAGAAAGAGCCAGTTAAAGAAACTGTAACCAAACGCATCCCGCCCCCAGAACTATAAATAACAATTCAAGTACCTTTGAGGCTATGAAGGTTTCATGAGAAGTCAACTGATCCTAAAGACCGCTGTCATCTCCATATAGAAATCTTAATAACCCAATCTTAGTTAAACGGCACCCTAGATAGCGGATTCCAAACTAACACGTTTGCAGAAAGTTAGAACCGCTGATACACACCAAAATAAAATAATCCATACACCTGGCAGTCTTGTAATTGGAAAACTTCATCCTAATACCGGTCTTCCCACCAAATTGTGGAAACCAAGTCAGCACTTGGCATTATCCACAATACCAAAGTGTCATAAAAATTAGATTATCCATCTGTTTTCGAATTCTGAATGGACCGAGAACAAGAACCAAAATATAACTCATTTTTTTCGGCCAAGAAAAGAAATTTTTTCATAAACACTGGGACCACTAAGTATTAATTAAGCACCCATGAAGTTTGCACATGATATCTGAATTTTTATATCCTCTAACATTGTAACGAAACCAGAAAAGAAAAGAAGAACTATTGGGTTCAGATGGGTCAGAGAGGAGAGAAAGAGAGAAGAGAGAGGGGTCACGATCTCGAATTCTTTATTGATCTGAACGCAGAGCGAAAGCTATTGCCGAAACATATAATCAATAAGAGGAATCTTTATGCAATCAAACACCAAACTTAGAGAACCTGCGACTGGCAGAGACCAAAAGAGAGATTCCCCAAGTGAGGAAAATAGCGACTAAAAAAATTGAACCGATGGGTTCCGCGAATTCGTAAACGTAGGTAGATTGGTGATTTCGACGAGGGGGCCAAAGGATGCTTAATTCGCGGAGCTGGTACAATGGTGACTTAGAGAGGACAATCTCTCTCTTTGTGGCCACACACTTGCATTTATCACCTATTCTATGCTTTGGAGAGTTGTTGTTTCATGCTCCTTATTTGGACCATTGCATGTGCCTCCATGATATGGTCTTTGAAAGACTTTGTTTTTGCGTTTTGGGGTTTTTTTTTTTTTTTTTTTGTTTATGTAAAAAATGTGATCGGGGTTGATCCCTGAGATGAATAAAATATGGTTTGTTGTGCAAATTTGTAAATTGTTTTGTTGAGGGAAAAAATTATGGGTCAAAATAATATATTATAGCAAACATATATATATAGTAAAATAAAAGAAAGTGCGCTGGATTATGGCTCCAGGGCCTTTTTTTTTTTTTATTTTTTTTGAAAAATAAAATAAAGAAAGGTAAAGTGGAAAAGTAGGATAGCGTGAATCAGCATGCGGTTTAAAAAGTGAGAGGTAAAATGGGAAAGGTTTGTACAAAATAATAATGAAATAAAGGAGTGGAGAAAGTTGGCCCACGCACACACAGTATATGATGGGTTTTATATATATATATATATACTGAGAGAGTGGGGAACAGGAGGAATAATTAGTATGATGAAAGTGGGTGCAAAGCCAAGGCCACAAATGCGACAAATGACACTCCCACAGATGCACTTGCCATCGCCGGCCCAACCTGTGTAACTTGACTGACGTGAAGAGAGCTTCTGCAATGACCGATCTACAGCGGTTGGAGGAGCTTGCTGGTAGCTACGTTGCCGTGGCAGGTGCAGTCATTGGTATTCTAAAAACCCGGGAGAATGAGCATGTTCGGAACACTTCTGGTAATCTGGGGCCTTGTTACGAGAAGAGTCCCGGCTCGTCCTGTTGCAAAACCACTGCAGAGTGTCTTCAATAGTGAGGAGAGGAAGACGATGAAGTTACAGAGAAGGCTAGCGTAAAGGCTGAGAAAATCGCCAAGGAGGAGGCTCAGGCGTCGCCGTCACGGTCGGTGAAAGGGAAGGAGCGGAACAAAGAGGAGATGGCGGAGGATAACCCAAGAGACTGACGGCAAGCGAGCCCCCAATAAAGGCAATGGTCTTGATCTGGATAAGTACTCTTGGGTTCAATCCTTGCAAGAAGTTACAATTAATATTCCAGTCCCTCCTGGAACAAAATCGAGGGAGATTGCATGTGAGATGAAGAAGAACCATCTGAAAGTTGGACTTAAGGGTCAACCTCCAATAATTGATGGTGAACTGTTTCAGTCTATCAAGGTTGAAGACTGCTTCTGGAGCTTAGAGGATCAGAAATCCATCTCTGTACTTCTGACCAAACAGAACCAAATGGAATGGTGGAAAAGTTTGGTAAAAGGTGATCCTGAAGTTGATACTCAAAAGGTGAGGAGGTCAGAGAAGAGGTCAGCTATGACTTTCTGGTAGAGGAGTGAAGGTATGTGTAGAGGTCCGGCGGGCGGCCAAGGCGAGGTTGCCGCCCGCCGGTGAAACAGACGGCCAAGGCGACCCCCCCCCCCGCCGGTGAAGCAGAATGATCAGGTTCTTAACCCCGCTCTGATACCATGTTAAAATACAATGTATAAAATTGATTGTGTTATATTGATTGATATCTATATATTACAATTCCTATATATAGAGGAGAAGATGGTAGTGGAGTGTGTGATAGTGGAGGTGGATGGTAGTGGAGTGTGTGATAGTGGAGGTGGTAGGTGTGAAGTGTGTGATAGTGGAGGTGGTAGGTGGAGAGAAATTCTAACAGTAAGTGAAATTTCACTAACTGTTAATAGTAAGGACAATGAAATTTCAATTCGTCAAAAATTTGTCCGAGAGATGTTGGAAAAATCAACTACGATCGATTGAGGTTGCTAAAAAACATCGCATACGATTGGCGGGAGTCGTCAAAAAATGGATACCAACGGCTAGAGGTAGTGCACAGAGGTTATTGGTGGCAGTTAGAGATCGGGACGACTAGTGTAGTGAACTAGGGTAGTTTAGACTACAACATATTTAGTGTTATTAAATTAGTAAAATTTTTTTTCCGCTGTCCTTAAACTAGAAAAAATTGTTGACTAGGACTTAGAAAAAAAATACTACAAAAAAAAGTGGTTCACTAACCTCTCCTTCAGTAAGGTAAAAAAAGATCGGAATTAATTTAAGATAGTACAAAGATATAAAGATAAAGAAAACATAACATACAGTTTCAAATTTAAAAAAAAAATGATAATCACCATGCTTGTGTTTTTTCAAAAATATTTTTCAAAAAATTTTACTTTCTTATTTTCCGTATTTTTTGTTTTTATTGAATTTTTTTAATATTTTAAGTAATTTTTTTTACTTTTTTGGTATATTTATGTCTAAAAAGTAAAATTTGTGAAAAAAAACATTTTAAAAATTCACTAAATACCAAAAATACAAAAAAAAATACGAAAATTCAATACATTTTTTATATTTTTATGTATTTATTAAAATTTTAAAATATTTTTTCACAAATTTTTTTATTTTTTAGATACATCTAAGTAAGGTGCATCTAAAAAAGTAAAAAAAAATATTTAAAATTTTAAAAATATTCACTAAAAACAAAAAAATATGAAAACCAAAAAACTGAGTTTTCAAAAAACTTAATTCAAAAAACTCAAACCAAACACACTGAATATAATTTTTCCATCCATGCGATTAATGAATTTTGGACAAATTATTTAGGAAGGTCAAAATAATTTTTTTAAATAATTTTTTTTTGAAATTTTTTTCGTTAAATTAGTTTCTATTTTTTCAGAAGTCGAACATAGCGATAATTTTGATGTCAGTATTAAACCAATCTATTAAATAAAAAAATATAAAATTAAAAATATTTCATATATTAAATATATCAATTATATTTTAAAAGCCTAATAACCATTCATCATAAGATAACCACCCAAAAATATATCTTAACAACAAATACAACCATATATTAAATGATAGCCATCCAAAAACATCAACAAAAATAACCACCCATTACATGATTATTATCTAAACACATATTAAAAATTAATTTGGTAAGAAAAAAAATTAAAATGTAAAAGATTTATCATTTTTATATAATTTTATTTTTGCTTGATGGAAATAATTTTAAAAATTTCAAAAATAATTTTTTGACATTTATTTTTGTCAAACTAATTTATATTTTATCAAATTGACAACTTTGCCTTTAAAATGGAGTAATGGTGTCCTCATTTATTTTTATTTGGAACGTGATTCAAAATTCAGGTCGAATGTATCACAATTAAAAGGTTAGAGACTAAAGTGACACAAGTCTCAAATTACAAGTACCATTACTGTAATTCACCCATGGATTTTTAATGAAAAGAAAATTAAGTGTTATGTAATTTTTAATTTTTTAATTTATTATTATTATTATTTTTTTTTTTTTCAAAAGAGTTCAATATAACTATGTCAAACTTATGAATTAAACTATAATTTTTTCAAATCTCAAGAGGGCAGTGTAGTTTTTCTTAATAACTAGCTCTTTTATGATGAAATTTACCCCTCGGATGCTTCATATCTAATAACGTTTATACAATTTAAGTGTGCGAGATTGGGCTTTATAATGTCTTATGCTAATGGTTTGGGGTACACTAAATAATACAAAAAGTTAAAAAGTCATTATCCTATTTAAGTCATATCATCTTATTTAAATCACATCACCTCTCTAACACATCATATCAAACCCAACCCATATAAGCTAATAAGTCAAAAAATATACTTTTTTAGAACATCCCAAACCAACCCAAAAAAAAAGTGAAATTGTTGATGCAAAACAATACCAATCTATACTAATACTAAAAGAAGTGAACAATTTTGGAGCTGTCTTTGCAGCTTTTTCTCTTATTATGCCTAGGTTCAAATCTCTATTAAAATAAATAAATAAGAAAGAGAAGTGAGTGGGATTTGAATTTAAATGGCGCACACACCATAAGTAAAATCAAAATAAGGTATTTATTATATATTTTGTGCGATTCAGATGGTAAAAATCTTTTCTACCAAACTCATGATCTTAGTTTCTCATTCTTGCACACACATACTTACCGTAAAATACGCCATTTAATATAACTGCAATAAAATTTTGGAAGATTTATTAAAAAATTCTTTTTCAAGTGTTTGTATCCTAATTAGTCCATAAAATATTCTTATATTTCAATAAGTCTTATTACTTGAACATTTAATCTACTAAATCCTAATTCTCACATTTAAAGCATTTTATAGACATTTCTACCTTTATAAACATTTTTTGAACGGTTAGCAATTTGGTGATGTGAACATTTATATTTTACAATGTGAATATTCACATTGACATGTTAACATTCACATTTATGCTGTGAACATTCACATCGGGAAATTCTATTTCCACACACCTAGTTACTCTACATACTTAATGAAATATTATTTTAATGATAATTATATCTTAAATTAAAATGACCATAATGGACATTCACCTACACTCATAATATTATATCAAAATATTCTCTGTACATATATTTAAAAAAAAAAAAAAAAATCTCTATGTACATTTTTTGAGTAAAAAAAACTAAACCCAAATTTCTTCATTATTGGTTACTTCTTCTATTGTTTCTCACTTTGCTTGCTACACACTCTATACTCCTCTATTATTTACAAAGCAATACTCTCAAACCAATGAAAGTTCAAAATCAAGTAAAAATATTCCTGATAACAGCAAAAACAGTAATGAAAAAGTTAATTTTTTCGTGTAGAAGTTTTTTTTTCGCGATTAATTTGAAAAATCAATGTCCAAATATTCTATTTTATTCAAAATTACAGTTTGTATAAGCTACTATTATTATAGCCACATAACTCTAAAGGCTAATCCCGTAGTCAATCAGAGGCTAATACTTGGAACTTTCATTGCAAAGCAAAACTACTAGGAAAAAAAACAACTCCCCTACAGGAACGATTGTCCTTTAATTGTTGCATGCACTGACTCATCGAAGTATACATCTTGACGGATGATCACTTGCTTCGGGTCATATACAAATCAATATATTTTGAAACTACAGTGTTGAACAAATCAATCTATTTCGAAAACTAAGTGTCGAATTAAATAACAGAGCTAGTGCCAATGTAGGTTCGTGAATGGAGTTTCCTTCATGTCTTCACTATGAACTGAAATAGGGCAGATTATTACTCTTCAACTTTGAATAGGTGTGTGGAAAGAGGGTTGAGGTGGTGTGTACAAGATATCAGTTAAGGGTATGATTAGAATAATTGGTGTATGGAATGAGAACAAAAATTAATAATCAAATTACTAAATGTATGCATTGAAAAAAGATATGCATTGAGATAACCAGGTGTGTAGAAATAGAATTTTCCATTCACATCACAAAATATTCACACTACAAATGTGAATATTATTAGGGATATTTTAGTAAATATGTCACTCATAGGACTTTCTAAAATATAAGAAAATAATGTAAACTAAATGAAACATAAGTAGGTAAAAAAGAATTTATGAAAAAGCATCCCTAAAACTTTTCTTAACAAAAACAAAAACAAAAACAAAAACAAAAACAAAAACAAAAACAAAAACAAAAACAAAAACAAAAACAAAAACAAAAACAAAAACAAAAACAAAAACAAAAACAAAAACAAAAACAAAAACAAAAACAAAAACAAAAACAAAAACAAAAACAAAAACAAAAACAAAAACAAAAACAAAAACAAAAACAAAAACAAAAACAAAAACAAAAACAAAAACAAAAACAAAAACAAAAACAAAAACAAAAACAAAAACAAAAACAAAAACAAAAACAAAAACAAAAACAAAAACAAAAACAAAAACAAAAACAAAAACAAAAACAAAAACAAAAACAAAAACAAAAACAAAAACAAAAACAAAAACAAAAACAAAAACAAAAACAAAAACAAAAACAAAAACAAAAACAAAAACAAAAACAAAAACAAAAACAAAAACAAAAACAAAAACAAAAACAAAAACAAAAACAAAAACAAAAACAAAAACAAAAACAAAAACAAAAACAAAAACAAAAACAAAAACAAAAACAAAAACAAAAACAAAAACAAAAACAAAAACAAAAACAAAAACAAAAACAAAAACAAAAACAAAAACAAAAACAAAAACAAAAACAAAAACAAAAACAAAAACAAAAACAAAAACAAAAACAAAAACAAAAACAAAAACAAAAACAAAAACAAAAACAAAAACAAAAACAAAAACCTAAACCTAAATCTAAGTGCTATTTGAGAATTTAGCTTCTTTTTTTTTTTTTTTAACTTTTTAACTTTTTTATGAGGTGAAAAAACTAATGATGTGTGAAATGTTTTTTTTTAATTGAATGGATAGTTACGGAAAAAAAAAATAATTAATTGATAATATGATGTGGCATTTTGTTAATGGGATTGAATTTGTTGCCTTTCTGACTTTTTTTTAATCAAGAACCCTCTAGCCAAACGACACCTAAATTTAATAAAAAAAATAAAAATAAAGTGAAACACCGGCAGAGTAAACACGACAACCGCTGCAAAATGAAGAATTCAACTCTGCATCTTCTCAATCCTCAGAAATGTCCTACAACACACTGATCATTTGAAGTCATTACCGTGTCTGCATTCAATAAACAGCAATATTCAGAGTGGATTGGAAGAGTACATATTTGCTGCCATTAGCAAACAAAAATCAAAAAAGAAGAGGGTCTCAACCAAAAAAAGATCATACAAAAAAGGGAGTGAACACTGACAGTGTCACTGAAAAATATGAAGGCACGCAGTGTCACAAAATGTGGTGCCTCATTTGTCAGATCAGCACCATTTTCTGTTCTTGAATGATCAATGTTGAGGTATTCATGTCCCACATTTACGCTGTACATAACTTGCAGGTGACCTGTAATTGCAATGTGAAGAAACAATTGCAACTCAGTTTGTCAAGCTGCTGGAATGATGATGATCAAGCTCTTCAGCTAACATGGCCATCAGGTGAATAGTGTTGCTGAGAGAAACAAGTGAATTGTGCTGATTAGATGCATTAAAGAAACAGGAAAAATGCAGATCACACATTTAATGGAAGATCAAAATACAAAATTTCACAACTGAATTCAGATATGCTAATTCAACAATCATCAAAAACAATGATCCAAAGGGCTAGCAAAATCATTAGGTTAAATACATATGTTGAACTGCAGCGGTGCTGAGTTTTATGTATAAAACCATTCCATGGAACTCAGCATTGGAGAGAAAAAAACTCTTTAAACTTATTCAACAAAGAAATCTATTATGAGATGCATTACCAAATAAATAACGAGTAAACTATATATTTGAAAATTAGTGTTATTATTGTCCCCACCAATTTTTTTCGGACCCCTTTATGGACACCATCTCTAAATTTTTAAACTTAATAGTTTTTTCTTTGGACCCCTACCTTATTTCCAATTTCAGCCTCATTTCCTAAAGCCTAACCCTAACCCACCTTCACCTCTGGCTGCTGCTCCCACCTCCTCTGATGCCCCCCTCCGCAATGCAACCTAACCCTAACCCTAATCCTAACCCCAACCATAACCCTAATCCTAACCCTAACCCCTACCTTCACCTCTGGCTGCTACTGTCACCTCCTCCAATGCCCTCCTCTACAATGCAACCCTCTCTCCAATGCAAGCCCCCTTCCCCACCATCGACCCTCCCCCACTGCGCAGAGGACTAAGAACCAATGATGATCATATCATCCACATAAAGTAACAAGATAACAAAACCAACAGAAGTGTGGAGAAAAAACAAAGCAAAATCTTGGGAACAAAGCAAAATCTTGGGCACAAAAATGAGGCCCAAGTTGAGTAACAACAGTCTAAAAAGCAATCATACCAAGCATGGGGAGATTGCTTCAAACCATAAAGAGTATGTCAAAGGCGACAAAACATGTCCAGAGGAATGAGGAAGAAAAGGGAGAGGACACATGTAAACCTCCTTAGTGAGATGACCATTAAGAAAAGCATTCTTAGCATCCATTTGATAGAGAGGTCATTGACGGACAACTACAGAAATCAACGTACGAACAATAGTCATTTTAGTGACAAGGGCAGAAGTCTCATAATCAAGACAATACTCCTGTGAGAAACCTTTTGAAACCAGGCGAGTTTTGTAGCACTTGAAAGAATCATCTGAATAAGTCTTGACTTTATAGATCATTTTGCAACCAATCAGATTCTTATCAGCAAGAAAAGGAACCAGCTCTCAAGAAAGTCTTTTGCATTGTAAACAACTCATCCTCCATAGCTTGAACCCAATTAGGATCCTGATAGGCCTCCTTGTAAGACTGGGGTTTTGAAAAGGAATGAATATTAGACAAAAAGGTACAATATGAAGGAGAAAAATAAGTATTAAAAAAATCAAGTTTTACCATGGCCTTGCTTTGACAAAAGGGATACTAACAATCATCAAGATCAGTGTCATCAGAAGCAAGAGGAGCAGCAGCATGGACAAAAACAATTGGTGGGAGAAGAGCCTTGCGACGAGAATAAACTAACAATGGATGAGGAGAAAGAGCAGGAGGAGAAATGGAAACAGGCTTATGGGGAACAATAGAGATGTACTCAGTAGGAGGGGGAGCAGGAGGAGAAAAGGAAACAGTAAAGATGTACTAATTAGGAGGGACCTCAGAAAGAAATAAATCAATGTGAACCAAATTCTCTTTGGAAACAGGGACAGTGATAGGAAGAAATTGAAAGTAAGACAAACATTCGAGAAAAGCAACATGGCGGGAGACATAAAAGCGACAAGAGTCAAGATCATAACAACGATGGCCATTTTGAGTAAGACTATAACTCAAAAAGACGCACAAGACAGACTGAGCACTAATTTTGGTCCTATCGTATGGAGAAGAATAGGGACAAAACAAGCAGATCCAAAGACTTGAAGGAGAGAGTAATTAGGTACGTGGGAAAGCAGAGCCTCATAAGGAGAGCGATTAGAAAGAAGAGTAGGCATACAGTTGAGAAGAAAAATAGTAATAAGAACTGCCTCACCCCAGAATGGGGTCGAAACAAAGGAAGAAAGAAGAAGAGACCGAGTAGTCTCAAGCATATGACGATGTTTACGCTCAACCCTGCTATTCTGGGCAGGTGTATCAGAACAGGAAGTTTGGTGAATGGTACCTAAAGTAGCTAAATACTCACAAAACTCAGTTTTAAAGTATTCTCCATCTAAATCAGACCACAACATTTTAATAGTAGACCCAAATTGGATAGTGATCATAGACTAAAAAGTACGATATATCTGGTAGAAGTCGGATTTATGAATCATAAGATAAACCTAAGTGTAACAGGTGCAATCTTCAACAAATGACACATAGTATGCAGAACCCCTTTTGGTGAGAACAAGAGAATGCCCCAAACATTAGTATAGACTAAAGAAAACGGGGTATCAGAAATAGAAGTACTATTATTAAAAGGTAATGTTGTCATTTTGACAAGTTTACAACCCTGACATTCAGTAATTTGATTAAGGAAAACTTTACCCAACAATCTTGACTAAGCTAAAGACCTTAAGTGGTCAACAGATAAATGACCTAATCTAAAATGCCACAAATAAAACTGACTTGGCTGAGAATCTAACTAAAATGAAGAAAAAAAAATTAAAGAGGTGGACAGATGGAGATGTAAACTTTCCACCACATAGAGGTCTCCAACTCTATGACCAGTCTCAATCTGCTACTTGGAGATCCGATCCTACACATAACAGACAAAAAAAGAAAATATAACATTAAAACTAAAAGTATCAAGCTAACTGATAGATAGTAAACTAATAGATAACTGAGCAACATAAAAGACAAATGGAATAGTGACGGCAAACATGTCAGATGGTAGGATAGACCTAATAGATAAAACAAATTTACCAAACCAATTAGCAACATTTAAGTAATAGGAAAGGGAGGGGGAATGCAATTTTTAAGTAAAGAGAGTTGATGAGTCATATGATGAAAATCACCAGATTAAAAAAGTCAGACAAAATAAGAGATACCTAAAGAAGACTCAAGCAAACCTGAATGAGGGAAGGTAAGAGCAGTGGCAGACAAGGATGACCAGAAAATAGATAATATATGCTAAAGCAGAGCAATCTGAGCACTCATGGAAGCCAAGTCCAGATCAGGAGCCAGAGCAGATGCAATATAAGCAGCTGGAGGCCGAAAGGTGCTCTAAGTAAGAGCTCAGAAGTGGGGCTGAGACGGTTGAGAAGTGGAACGTCCCTTCTTAGGACAATTGAACTTCCAATGGCCCTTTTAATGGCAAAAAGCACACTCATTGAATGCCAGGGGCCCCTTCTTAGGCTTTACGGTGGCCTGAAGCTGATAAGGAGCTAAGGTCGATAGTAGTGGAGGCTGAATAGGAGCCAAAAGATAAATGGAGACAGAGTCTCACTGATTGTCTTAAGACGAGTTTCCTCAGAGAGGAGCTCACGAACAATAGCATCCATAGAGGAAAGATGAGACTGGTGAATAAAGGATGTCGCCATGGATAGCTTCAAATTAAGGAGAAAGAGCCGTTAAGAACTGTACCAAACGATCCGCCTCCCAGAACTATAAATAATCATCAAGTACCTTGAGGCTAGAAGGTTTCATGAGAGTCAACTGATCCTAAAGACCTGTCATCTCAATATAGAAATCCTTAATAGACCAATCTTGTTAACGAGCACCCTAGATAGCGGATTCCAACTAACACCGTTTGGCAAAGTTAGACCGCTGATACACACCAAATAAATAATCCCATACCACCTTGGCAGTCTTGTATTGGAAAACATCATCCTAATACGGTCTTCCACCAAATTGTGAAACCAAGTCAGCACTTGGGCATTATCACAATACCAAGTGTCATAAAAAATTAGATATCCATCTGTTTTCGAATCTGATGGACGAGAAACAGAACCCAAAATATAACTCCATTTTTTTCGGCCAAGAAGAAATTTTTTCATAACACTGGACCACTAAGTATAATTAGCACCCATGAGTTTGCACATGATATCTTGAATTTTATCCTCTAACATTGTAACGAACCAGGAAAAGAAAAGAGAACTATTGGGTCAGATGGGTCATGAGAGAGAGAAAGAGAGAGAGAGAGGGGTCACGATCTCGAATCCCTTATGATCTCGAACCAGAGCGAAAGCTATTGCGAACATAATCAATAGAGAAATCTTGCAATCAAACCCAAACTAGAGAACTGCGACTGCAGAACCAAAGAGAGATCCCTCAAGTGAGGAATAGCGACTAAAACAAATGAGATGGGTCGCGATCGTAACGTTAGGTAGATTGTGATTTCGACGAGGCCAGATGCTAATCGCGAGTCTGGTACAATGGTGACTTAGGAGGACAACCAAGGAAAAGTTTGCGAATCAGAGAGAACTTCAAACCAGAGCTAGGGTTTTGCACACGGCTTTGATACCATATAAATTTTTGAATAACTTTGTATATTTAATTGTGCAATCTTTACAAAGGGTTCATCAGTTTATATAACCCTACACTTATAACTGAAAATGGAAATACAATCAATTGAAATATTTACACAACCACAATCATTCATAATTCCTAATAAAGAAGATACCTACAGTATATGCAATATATTCTCACACCCTTCCCCTCCAAGCCCCCTTACACTCTAGCAACATCCTCATCTTAGTGAGAGGAAAATAGTGTTTCACCGGAGTTGGAGGATGGGCAGGGGAGGTTGGCAATTGGAAGGAGGTTGGGGAGTGGCTATGGGAGGTTATGAAAGGGACAGGGGTGGTGATGATGGGCTAGAGGGAGGCAAGCAAATACAAGAAGGGTTTCTAGAGAAACCAGTGGGGAAAGAGGTTGTCACAATGAGAAGAGATGTTGTTGTGGAGGGAGGGCTCGCTAATGGAGGAAAATAAAAAAGGTAAGTCGATTGTTATAAGATGCTAATGGAACGGTGGGTGGTGGTGGGGTTAGGATTAGGGTTAGGAATGGGGACAAAATTAAAATTTTATGATAGGGTAAAAGTTTAATAAAGAAAATGAAGGAGGTAGGGCTCCAAAAAAATGTAGGAGCTATTATCAACACTTTTTCAGAATACACACAACTAATCATTCCCATTAGAAATGTTCATTCCATTAGGTTGTGTTTGGTTCATAGATTTGGACAGGCATTTGGAAATGGAAAGGGAAAGGGAAAGGGAAAGAATAAGTAAAATGTAAATGAAATATAAATATATTTCACCTACATTTCACACACCTTTTTCATTTCTCTTTCTAAATTTCTTCCCAAATCCATAAAACTAAACACAGCTTTAAGATTTATACTCCTTCTGTCCTATATTAATAGTCCTTTTTGAAAATTTCAAACTTATTAAAGAAACATAATCATTACATTTTGAATTCAAATTTTAAAGGGTTAATCCAAAAATGCCCTTCTATTCTCATTTTTAAATATATTTATAATTACTTTTCAAGGGGTAATTTTATAAGCATTAAATTTAAAACTTTGACTTTTTAAAGTGGACATTCATTTTAGGACAACAAAAAATGAAATAATGGACCAACAAAATAGAACTGACGGAAGTATGAATAAAGAAGTATATTCTACAAAGAACTTTTGATTAGCTAAGCCCCAATTAAACCACTAAAGTTAGCTTTGGGTTCAGCACTCATGTACTTCACCAGGAATTCACGGGTTTGACTCCCCCTCCCCCTCCAATGTAACCACAAAAATAGTTTCCGATTTGGTCATGCCAAAGCAACAGTTCATGGTAATTAACAGGAATCCTTTATAAAGGAGATTTTCCTTCAGCTATTCATGTCAATTAAATAATATAGGTCAAAATTCACTATACCTCCTCCCCTATAGTTTGGGGCTGGAGCAATTTACCTCCTATAATTCAAAAATAGCCATAGAACCCCCATATGGTTTTGGACTAACCCTTCTGATCCTCTGCCTTTCTGCTTCTCTTATTTTATTTAACTCTCTTCTATTACACACATAATTTCTAACTTAATCAACATTGATTCCATTAAATCACAAATTAACCTTAAATCCCTAATTATTTATTTTAATTCCTAACTTTTTAACCTAATTTTAATGTAATTATATTTTAAATCATATACAGAGACATATATATACACATTATATATATACTTAGACAAGTGTACATATACATATAGAACAAATGGGAAAGAGGGAGCTAGGTGAGACAGGAATGGCAGTAGAGGGAACAAGGCATCATCCTGGTCGCAAAAGTGAAGGAGGTTGCAACGGTAAAATGAATTTTGCCCATATAACACATATTTTATACATACAGTATATGGAATAGAATGATCAACCAATAGTTTCAAATTTGGGTTTCAATTTTTGACTTGTGTGTCTATGCAGCAACAAATTCATGCGTACATTACTGGCAGCAGCCACTAGTCGACCAAATACCCATCATCAACGCCTAAACCCCATTTCCACACACTCGATGCATTCATCTCCTTTCCTAACCTCAACCTCAACGAAATCCATTGTTTCCATTTGTGTATTTGTAAATTTTAATGTATCTATTGATGTATTATTGATTGATATATATTGTGTTTACAATGAGTCCTATATATAGAAGATTAGAGGAGGTAGGTATGTAGTAGGTGGAGTAGTAGGTGGAGTAGTAGGTGGAGTAGGTGAAGTGGGTGGAGTAGGTGTAGTGGTAGGTTTTGGTACATTTTAACAGCCCCCCGCAAACTCAAAGGGGATAGGAACTAACCAACTTGAGTTTGGAGAGAGTAACAAAAACAAGAAAATAGATTAATACATAAAATAAAAGAGGATAGGAGACACTGTATGGTCGTGTCTGACCGTTGTAGAAGACTCTGTATGGTGGTGTCATAACGTTGTAGAGGACACTGTATGGTTGTGTCATAACGTTGTAGAGGACACTGGATGGTTGTGTCAGACCGATGTAGAAGACAGTTTATGGGGTCATGTCGGACCGTTGGTGGTCTTTTACATCAGCAAGAGTTGATGACAATTGCTGGAGGTGTTGGGGAGGAGAGAGAACGTGACGGGTTAGGGTTAGGGTTTATGTAGTTACGGTTGTTAGGGTTTGTAGTAGAAGATGAAGATGAGGGTATAAATGTCTAGTTCATTTTAATTTCACCTTTTCTTTTCTTTTCTTTTTTTTATAATAAAAGGCCCACTCTCAAAATTGTGTACTACACCTTCAATTAGTTTCGATGGAAAAGGTAACGGCTGCAATTTAGTCCAAAACTATAGGGGTTTCTTTGGCTATTTTTGAACTGTTCTGGGGCATTAAAGTGAAGTTTGCCCAATAATATATTTTAGAGCTGAAAGAAAATGAATAGGAGTATAATATAAATTCTCTAATTTCTTCAACTGATGAATAACTTTCTATCAAATGTGAAATTCATAAGGAGCTTCAACATCAATCAAAACAACATAAAATGGAAGGCAAATGATACCCCAAATGCTTAATCTTATACTCTTTAGTTACTTTAGTTTGTTCACAAATCTTAAGTCTAAAACTCACATAATGACCCAAAGGAACACTATATGTTGTGAACCTCTCTATCATCCTTAGTCTATATGCAACTGTTTCCATACATGCCAACCAATAAGAACAATGCACTACAATTTACAAGCGAGCCATGAACCATTGAGCAAGCATAGAAATGCCAAAGATAAAAAATAAAAATTTAAAAAATAAAGGAAAAAAAAGAGAAAAATCCAAAGCAAATGGAAGACAAACTTGCCTGGGGGTATAAATACTCATCAAAAGTAGCAATGCTGGAAGGCCCGGACGTAGAAGCACAATTACAATGCATGGAATCATACCCAGATTGAGGCTGTTCAAAGTTTCCTTCAGCACAATAATCGTCAATACTTTGTTGCAAGTTCGTTTGTTGTGCTGGTTGGAATTTATTATCAGGTAGAATACTGAAATTGAATGGTGGGTAAGAGTCTTGCCCATACAGCTGTAGCCTCAAAGATTTGGTATTGATCAACTCGTTCCTCAAGGATTTGCTGTTCATCAATTCATTTCTCATGGGTTCGGCTTTTATCAACTCTTTCCTCAAGGATTCGGTTTTTATCAACTCATTCATCAAATGTTCAGTTTTTATCAACTCATTGGTCAAAAACTCGGATTTTATTAGCTTGTTACTCGAGGATTCTGTTTTTATCAAATCATTCATCAAAGATTCATTCTGTGTCAAATTATTCCTCAAAGTTTCACTTTTTAAACCAATCAACTCATTCATCAAAGATTCGGTTCTCAGTAACTCGCTCAGGACGCCACTTGCTTGCCCAATGCTAGCAATGTCTGGCTTTTCAGTGGTACCAAAGTACCCAGAATAGTTCCCAAAGGAGTTACCTGCCAAAAGCTCGGTTCCCCTAGAGGAAAGACAATATATTACAACTTGTTGGGAACAAAATATTCAAAGACATCTTCTTGTTCTTTTACTGCTACATAAAACAATAGTTTTCATTCTAGATAAGGATCCAGCAAAATAAAGTTGTATAATGACTTCTAAAAGAGCATGTGTTTCATGCATGCATTAAAGATTTAAAGCTTGATGACAATACCACTCACCTTCTGGGAAACAGATTTGATTCCTTTGGTGACGCCATATGTTGATTATTATCATTCTGAATCCATGAAAACTGTTGAACCTGCTCAACACCCAAACTGAAAGGCAGATGCATCCCATTTTGCAACTGCAAACTATGAAAATTGTCTGACCCGTTGCTTGACTCATTCTTCAAGGATTCTGTTTTCATCAACTCATTATTCAAACATTCAGTTTTTGTCAACTCATTCCTCAAAGTTCCAGTTCTTAAACCAATTAATTCATTCCTCAAAGATTCAGTTCCAAGTAACTCATTCAGGACACCACTTTCTTGCCCAGTACAAGCAATATCTTCTTTTTCAACAGTGCCAAAGTAACCCAAAACGTTCGCAAAGGAGTTACCTGCAGAGAGTTCTGTTTCCCTAGAAAAAAGACACCTAGACATGGATCCAGCAAAATTAAGTTGTATAATGACTTTTAACAGAGCATGTTTTGATGCATGCATAAAAGATCTGATGTTTGATTGACATACCACTCACCTTTTGGGAAGCAAGTTTGGCTCCTTCAAATGTCGAACCTGATGCTCAACACCGAAGCTGAAAGGCACATGCATGCCATTCTGGAACTGCAAGATATGACTAGCTCGAAATCATATTTAACATGAACGTAATAAGAGCACAATTGGGTGAGTATTATTGGCTCTCTTAGTAAGTTCATTACCTGATTAGTGCACCCCACTGCCGAGAATTGCTGATTTCGAATATTTTCCGGTCAAAAGTAGATGTCATTACAACAAGAAAAAACTTCAAAAGATTGATAAGAGATATCACTGAGTTCAAAATGTTGATGCATTTCAAGTGGAGAATATTATTTCAACTAAGTAGCTCAGATTAGACTACGACGAATACAGTCAATATATATAGTTTTCAAATTTTCTCCCTCCATCCTCTATAATCAGAAATAGAGTTATTTGAATTAATGTATCCTACACACATGCTTTTCTTTACAAATCAAGTTGAAAACTTTGGAGCCACACCCTGCATAATTGGGGAGGAATACTTCGTTAATCACATGCTTGGATGCCATTATACCCCAATCTTTTGCAAAAAGTACAGAAGGAACAATGCTTCTAATTACATATACCTCTTTTACATCATGTGTACATGGTTGTCCCCCAATTTGTTGGGGCCTTTTAACCCAATAGCTAAATTTTCTTATATGAAGAATATACATGGGCCCATTCTTTCCCCCCAAGGCATCAATTTTGACAGAATATCACAAGGATAGGTTTGGGATATGTCAGATCCCACCCAAATAGCACAATCATATCCTCTAATACTGACGATGAAAGAAGGAAAAAGTTCATAATTGATAATAAGGAACGTTTTCTTGCTTCTCACATGGATAGGGAGATGGATACCCCATTTTCATAGAGTTCCATTTATTCTCAAATATACCCAATAATAATATCTTGTATTACAATATTATAAAATAAAATAAAATAATTAAAAAATATGTATAATATATTTTAGATGTACGGGATGTATTTACATAACCACATTCAATTTTTAGATACCAATCTCTATATCCTACCCTTGGAAGTTTAGGAAGTTCCTGTTCTTAAACACACCCTTATCCTTATTCATAGTTGAGTTGAGTCCATGTTACATAGATTACACAGTACCTAAACTTTGTCTAGTAGCAATTACCACAAGGAAAAAGAGGAATACCTTTTGTGTTTGAATTTGATCAAACAATTCCCTCATATAATCTTCCATTTGCTCCAAAAGCTCAAAACTATCAATCTTATCTGGGTTATTCCAATCACTGCAGAATCGAGAACATATAAAATCAGTACAGTATGGTCATAAACGAAATCATGAATTTTACTACAAAATCCACAATTGAAAAGGAAAAATTAAGTCACAAAATTTTGACAAGAGATAAAGCAAGATGTTTATGCTCATACATTGTGACTGTAGAAGAAAGAAAGTAACAGTAATACAAACAGAATTTAGAAACAAAAATGAAGTTGAGTACTTGCAAGTATTTAGGAGATGTAGCTATCTTAGTTTACAAAACTATTAAATAAGATATTAGTAACAAGGAAAGTTCTTGATGAGTAGCCAATAGAAGTTTAGTTCCTATCTAAGAAGCACGGAAAGGGACACGGTGATTTCAAAAAAAAGAGGACACGGACACGGCGGGGACACGACAACAAAATTAATATTACATCTGCAAATAATCAAAACTAATAAAAACTAACACAAATTTGATTTTTTTTTAAAAATAAATAAATAAATAACTTTTAAGTTAACACTTAGTTTATATATTTTGTATGTATAATCTATTAAATATTTAAATCAAAGAAAAAAAGAATAAACATCCAACGTCTATCAAAAGCATTAAGGAAAGGAAGGAAAAAAACTAGTTGAGGTGTCCCCGGCGTGTCCCCTAAAAAAATAATAATAAATAAAGGGACATGTCATCCATACGTGTTCCCACTGTGTCCTCGTGTCTTATGGCAATTATTTTGAAGTGTCAGTGCTTCATAGGTATATATGACAATAAGGGAGATACTCAACATTGTACAAATATAGGCATATTAAGCTTATGAGTCTCACTATGAAAACTTAAGAGAGAATGGTCAAGCATAATTGGGACTTGAAACAATTGTATCACTAAATTAGTTTGATTTTATACTTGGGACCTCAACAATGAATGTGATCTATTGAAAGAAGAAGATCTTCGTTTGGACTTCATAATCTTGGAGGAGACTTGTGATAAGATCTTCAGAAATATCATATGTATAATGACCCGGGTCAAGACCTGACCCTTTCTATCTTATCCATTTGTTTATTGCACTTGTTGGGTTTAATCTCCATTTCACTTGACTGAGTTGTACACAAATTGTCTTGGTTTTGTCCCTGGAACACTTGGCTCAGAACACACTTTTGCTTGGTCACGCCCGCGATCACTACCATCGCGCCTGCAATGTGTGTAAATCGCGCCTGCGAGGGGGTCATGACCAGGCCGCAATCAAAAACACCTTGCAGTACTTTTCTATGTGGAAAATGGGTTGCCCGCAATGAAGGCCCACGACTTGCATAGTCACGCCCGCGACAAGGGGTTCACACCCGCGAATGTGACTTCGCACCCGCAATGATTAAAAACTATAAATAGAATTTCAGTGCGCGAAAAACCTGTTTTTAGCCCTTTCTTCTCCCACACACCTCTGTTTGCCATTTTTAAACTTTGAAGCTATAAAACCCTTGGTTTCATCTACTCCTAGCCATCTTTTGCCCATAGTTCTTAAGGCCAAAAGCTAGAGCACATCAAGGGCTTTGTTTTGATCGAAACAGTTCACTTTTTCGTCACCGTGGAAGTTTGGGCATTAGGTCTCTCTCTCTCTCTCTCTCTCTCTCTATTTTCTCTCTTTGCTTGAGGTAAGAATTTCCTTAACGATATGCATGTTATTTAATGTTTTTATGTGCTATTCTTGGTAATTATAAGATTTGAGAAAGCTAGGGTTTGATATATGTATGTATTAGTGCATAAAATGGGAGTTTCTCTCTAACTTTGCTTTCGTTTCAATTAAATCTCATGTGGTTACAAAAGGATGAAAATAATGATTTGGCTTATCCATGAATGAGGTAGAGGCCATGTATATATAATAGATTCATGATACAATTTAGAAAATGATATAAATAAGAAAACAATACTAAATCAGTGATTGACATAATAACAGATTATATATATAATATTAAAAATAAAGAGATTCTATATACTCTAATTTTTATATTCAACACTCCCCCTTAAGCGGGTGTGAAGATATTCAACAATTGCAGCTTGCCAATGGATGACTGGAGTAATGTTGGTCCTACTGACTTTGAGAACATATCTACTAATTGCTGAGAGGAAAAGACAAATGATGGACTCACAATACCAGTCCGAACATTTTCTCAAATGAAATGAATATCAACCTCTATATGCTTAGTACGTTCATGAAGAACAGAATCAGAGGACAACATAATAGCAGACTCGTCACAAAATAAAAAGGCAGGACCAGTCTCCTCAAAACTCAACTCTGCTAGGATAAAACGAAGCCATAGAATCTCACATGTTCCCTGTGCCATAGCTCGATACTCAACTTTTGCAAAAGATCTAGAAACAACTGCCTGCTTCTTACTCTTCCATGATATAAGATGATCACTATAGAAAGTACAGAAGTCCGAAATAGAACGCTGATCAATTCTAGATCCTGTATAGTCAGCATCAGTGAAACAAGAGAGCCCAAATTGAGGAGCGGCTGTAAAGAATAATCCCAATCCAGAAGAGGTCTTCAATATCTCAAAATGTGATGAACCGCATCAAGATGTTCTGAACTGCATCAAGATGTTCTGTACAAGGTGCACGCATGAATTGACTAACAACACTGACTGTAAATGTCAAGTCAGGTCTAGTGTTGGTCAAATAAATTAGACGTCCAACAAGACGCTGATACATGCCTAGCTCCTCTAACAACTCGCCAGACTCTGATGTGAACTTGACATTAGGATCCATAGGAGTAGAAACAGGTTTACACCCTAACACACCAATATCCTAAAGTAAGTCAAGAGTGTACTTTCTCTGAGATAAGAAAAATCCCTGCCATGGGTGAGCCACCTTAATCCTAAGAAAATACTTGAGACTCCCCAAATCCTTAATGTAAAAGGTGTGTCCCAAATCCCTTTTTACTTGATCAATGCCTATGGAATCATCACCTGCGAGAATAATATCATCCACATAAACCAACAAGACTATACACTAATTGGTTGAATTACGACGAATGAAGCAAGTATGGTCAGGGTGGCACTAAACAAATCCATGGAGATTATGACAGAACTAAAACGACCAAATCAAACTCGTAGAGACTGTTTCAAGCCATACAAAGACTTGCACAATCAACACACTGTTTCCAAATACTCCCCCTCAGTCCGAAAACCAGAAAGAGGTGCCATATAAATTGCCTCAAGAAGATCCCTATGAAGAAAGGCATTTTTGACATCAAGTTGATGAAGAGGCCAAGAATGGGATGCTGCAAAAGAGATGAGAAAATGAACCGATGTATGCTTGGCAACAGGTGCAAAAGTGGCTCCAAAATCCTTGCCAGGAACCTGGGTAAAGCCCTTGGCCACCAAGCGGGCTTTGTAACGGTCAACGGAGCCATTAGCTAAATACTTAATAGTGAATACCCATTTGCAACCCACAGTACTCTCGCCAGAAGGTAAAGGAACCAAATTCCAAGTATGATTCTATTCTAAAACTGTCATCTCAACCTGCATAGCCTCCACCCATTTTGGATTTTGAAGGGCCTCAGACACAGAACGAGGAATGGCCTCAAATTCAAGCTTGCCAAGAAAAGAGCGATAGGTAAGGGAGACCCTATCATAAGAAAGATACTGGGAAATGGGATGATTAGTACTACTCAAATAACCCCAACGGTTTGGAGGATGTCAATCCCGAGGGAGATTATGACGAGGAGGTGGAGGGGATGTATGTAAAGGAGAAAAAGTATCTGACCCAAAGACCGGAGAGGCGACGGGGAGGAGCTAAGAGCGAGGGTGACAATAGTATACCTGCAATGGAAAGGAGGGCGAGGGAGGCAAAGGTGGAGAATGAGGAGAGAGGACAACGTCATCCGTAACCTCGTCCAAAATAGGAATAGGGCGACCAAGAGTGGAAGCCTGGAAAGGAGGGTTACTACCAAAAAATGGAAATCTTCACAAAAAGTAACATCGAAAGTGTGGTGAAAGTGACAAGACACAGAATCAAAACGCCTATACCCTTTTGACATGGAAGAATACCCCAAAAAGACACAACAAATAGACGTGTCATCTAATCTAACTTGGTACAAGCAGGACTCCAATCCTGAACAAAACAGGTACAACCAAAGACACGAGGTAGGAGAGGAAATAGAGTAGTGTGGGACATAAGAATATGAAACGGAGTAAGATCCTGCAACACACGACTAGGGGTCCTATTAATAAGATAGGCAGCGGTGAGGACAGCCATATGCCAATAGGATTTAGGGACACTCATACCATGAAGGAGACACCGCACCAGACATAATATGACGATTTTTACGTTTAACTACACCATTTTGCTTAGGAATCCGTGGACATGTAAGTTGTTAAAGAATACCAGTCTGATTAGATGGGGGCAAAAGCATTAGAAATATATTCCCCACCATTATCAGAATGGATATTCCTAACAGCTGAACAAAACTGAGTCTTAACCATTTGTAAAAATTGAACAAAAATGGGAAACATGTCAAACTTACAATGGAGCAAATATACCCAAGTGCATCTAGTGTGGTCATCAATAAAGGTGGCATAATATCAATGGCTAGAAAAAGCAGGAACAAGAGACGGACCCCAAACATCGAAATGTATAAGGTCAAAAGCACTAGGAGCACGAGTCATATGAGGTATGTAACTGGTATGAGTATGTTTAGATAATTCGTAAAGCACACAATGAAACTTAAAATCTTTGCAAGCTTTATTCAATAAAGAAAAAAGTTGGCATAAGTATTGAAAATTGACATAACCCATACGTGCATGCCACAATTCTAAAGTTTGAACATTAAAAACACAAGATATAGAAGTAGGCAAAACAGACGCCTGGAAACTAGTTAAAGTAGAAGGAGGTTGGTCTAGTGGATCCCCAAAGTAGTAAAGTCTATCGCGCTCATATGCCCTGCCAAAAATCCTTTTCGAATCAAGTCCTGTAACAGACACGAAGAAGATAAGAAAATAACAGCACAATTGAAGGACTTGGCAAGCCGA